AATCTTGAATTTGATGGAGATTAACTCAAAATTCAGCTAGCCTTGATTGAAATATATCCCTAGAGACTTGGGAGGGGAAGTGTGTGTTTGAATAAGTGGAGATGAAGGGTGAGAAATAGAGGAAGCTAGAAGAAGAAGATAGAAGAAAAAATAAGAGAGAAGGGTGTGTATGTGTGTGTGTGTATATAAATGAGGGACTTGTGGTGGTGACAATGAGGAAGTAAAAGGAAATAAGAGACGAGAGGGTCAAATAGTGATTGAGAAAATAGAGATAGAGAGATTTAGAGAGAGAAAGAGAGGATAGGATAAGGTGCGAGGCTATTCCCTCTACTACTCTTCTTAAGAGTGTTTTAAGGCTAAGCAAAATTGAGGCCTCTCATTTCTTTGTTTGCTTCTTTAACACCTCATCACCAACTTCATCTTTTCTTCTATCCCTCTGTATATATATTTTTTTCCTTTTTTTCTAAACGAATAAATTAAAGGGAATTTTGCCAAATGTGCCACACTTTGGGAAAATCCTAGCACATTTGAAATGGATTTAGCATCTATATCACATTTGGTGTTTGTGTGGCAACTCTTGGACGATTTTGCCCTTCTTTGTGCGTCAGGTATGTGTCAGGGGAAGGAGTTACAGTAGACGCCGGTTGGGACAACTTTGTGTCAGAGAAGGACAACTTTGTATGAAAGACAACTTTGTGTCAGAGAAGAATGACAAAACATTGCATTAAATGCAGTTTACATTTACCATGGACAATAATTATGAAATAGAGTGAATGATGTCCCCCAAGAATAAGTCCAGATCTCTTGATTGTTCATCGCCAGATGATGTGGTTTTACCAGCCAGAGATCTGGATTTACTCGGACAACTTCTCTTGATTGTCCATCACCAGATGATGTGGTTTTACCAGCCAGAGATCTGAATTTACTTGGAGACAACTTGATCTTTATTTTATTCCGCCAAAGAGCCGAAGATGAAGATCTGGATTTACTCGGGGACAACTTTGTTTTACCAGAGGGACAAAAACGGTTACCAATACGTTAGGAGAGAGACTGTGGACGGCAGAAAATTCGGAGAGTTCCATCAACCGCAGGGTCTTGTCTCAATAAGTTGGAGGGTAGAATCATCTTTTCACATGATGATTGTGGTATGGATGCTAAGTGGGCTTAGAAAATGGTACTAGGTCTAAACTTTTTGAAAAAAGTGGTATTGGGACTAATTTTCTCTAAATTTAATGTTTCCCCTTATTTCTTCATTTTATGAGATTTCACCCATTACTTTACATATTTGATAATCAATTTGTTTGCGTTTATTTTACCAACTTTTTGATTTTGTTCGAATAATACAACTCGAGACATGTCGGCTCAACATTTTATGGATCCTCGTGTAAATGAACTTTTTGGTTCTTTTGGGCTTTTTTGGCCACAAGATTATTAAGCATAAAACTTTGAATTTTTCAAAAGAAATTATAAACAAAAAGTTTCAAAAATCCATTTGTGTAGTTTTTTTTATCTGATTGTTAATTTAATTCGTTTAGATTAATCTTATTTTGAAAAAAAAATTCTTAATTAAATATCCATGGTAATTACGTCTACAAAATAAAGATTTGCACTTCATCTTTAAAACGATTTCAAAAGATGATCATAATTAGTTGACAAGCATATTATTGGATTCGTCCGACCAAAAAAAAAAGGCATATTATTGGATTCATTCATGTGTGCTGCAATATACTACCATCTATCTCTGGGTCGATCATTGGGTTAGCGTTTTGCATACATAACATATTTGGCAAAAACTTTTAGCGACATTTAATCTAGTCTTCACCTGGTAACTGGTAACGTTGTGAGTGGCATTCTTTGACAATGTTCATACACCAAAAATTTACATGTCAAAGATATTCCCTATATGCATGATATATACTCATGCTTCGAACTAGGCATCCAATATAAGCTTTCTACCATAGACGAACTCAAATCTTTGATTTACATATTTCAACGCTAATTATGCATCCTCGAATTTTCCGATATCCGACAATCGAATTATTTTCTTCTTCTATTGATTTCTAAATTACAACTTATGTTGCTATGGTATCAATTGTTAGGAATTGTCCAAAAGTTCAGATCCACAACTCAAAAATCTAGTTGATTTTAATCCTTACAATTGTTATCTTAACAATAGTTAGGATCGGACACGTGCCATCATGTGACTTTTTGCGTTATGAATCTAACAAAAATGCTTTGCATCCTACCAGAAGCCATATTTAGTAGAGACGAACCACGTGAGGGCTCCCTAGAATTTGCATGAGTCTTTGTCTTTTTCTCTTTTTTGTAAATCAAGCTTTACTCGTATTTTTTTTTTCCTCAATCCAGTTTTACTCGTATGAAGCCTAAGATTGGATGATATTTATAAGGCACCTCGCTAAGCTATGTGAGAAAGGAAAAAACTACTCGACAGAACGTAGACACGGGCTTGGTCAAAGCAAATATATGTCAAATATTTCTTTTGACAAAACCTAAAATGTAATGGCCTATGAGGCATTAGGCTCTTATAAATAATGTTGAGTCATACAAAACTCTTAGCATGCCAAGTTTAGTTACCTTTGTGGACTTACCTTAATAATTTGTAGCACTTTGATCATATAAGTCTAATGTGTACGAACGATATATCCAGCAACAAAAAGAAGGATAAATTTAAAGGGTCTATGGGGCCAGGAGGAGGAGGTAAACTCAATCATTACAAAGATTGTGTTTCTCAGGTGATGATATTGGCATGGATTCACTCTACTATGCCCTCAAGTTCTATTTTCTTTAGTTAGCTACTTCTAGATGTCATACAAAATGTTGTGAATTCAGATGAAGTTTGGATAAATATTTCCAAGCAAACAAGTACAAAATGAGTATTGTTAATAACTTAATATAGATAAAACTGTGGATGACATCTTAAAGCGTAAGCAAGAACAAAACAAATTGAGGCGAATTTTCTTTTTCCTCCACAGCTTTTTTTTTCTGATTTATCGTGTGAATAAAAAATTACAAACACTAAGACATTCTCAAACACAAAATGATGCATTGATATGTGGCCCAACACGTGTTATGGGAGATGAACTATCTAAATTAAGAAGAAGAAGAAAAAAAACAAGTATATGCATTGACAAAAGGATCAAAGCTGGAAGAAAGAAACATACAAGGTGGATGAGTCAATTTTGGATAGAGAATGACATGTCCAATTGCATAGTAGTATATGTAGTTACAACTCTTTTTACCCCAAAAGTTATTAACTCACACAATATGTTTTTAATCCTGCACTTTAAAAATCATTTTCTTTCTTTCCATTTTCCACGTTTTGTACTTGAAATGACTTTCTATATCAAGATTGGTCAAGACTGCAACACTATACCTGCCCACATCCACTTGGCTGGAGCGCGTCAATTAATATTATATATAACACACCTAATAAGACTAATTCATTAATAACTATAGAATAATTCCTCTCCCTAATTATCTTTAGGGAAAATTAGATATAAATGATATCTACTTAAAAATTTGTCCATATATCTCATTCTCTTTAGACCCAATTTTACCCTCACTTACTCTCAAAATCAATTCAAAAAATTAAACTTCATAATTGATTTTACAAAATTAAAATAGAAATAGAAAAATCACAAAACTTCCAAATGAATAAGAGTCTTTCATAAGACCTAATAAAAGACTTTTTCCCATTCTTTTTTTCATTGCATCTGACGTGTTTTAGAAATATTTTTACCAATGCAAACTCTAAACTCTGTCTCACTTTCTGTTTGATTTAGAAATTCTCAGCTATGTCTCAATTGGTGCATGTGTAAATTGTTTCCCATATCTCTTATTGATCTATTTAGTTCACTATTTTTGTGTGTATGTGTGTCATGAGTAGCTAGCTCATATACGTGTCTTGTTTATTTTTTTTTAGTTATAGGTTTTGTCTCTTGTAAATCTTCTTCATCTACGTTATTGGAAATATCTTTTATGTCTTAATTCATGTTTCAATCTTTATTCAAATTTGTTTCTGCATGTTGAAGACTTTTTGTGTGTTTCCCTAATTCTTGTGTGTTTGTACCTTTTCTTGTATTTAATTGAATCTCCTCTTTATATTGTGGCTCATTTTCTTAACATGAAATCAGACCAAAGTTTATGAAATTAGAATTCTTTTGTGATCCTTCTAGAACTGTTTAAATATTTTTTTCTATTATTTTAGTTTGAAAGAGTAGTCATTGGGGATGAATTTCGAGTTTGGTTTTATCTTTAGTACCCTGAAATAAACTCCAGTAATTTGATTTGAAACTCTCAGCTCTAAGGGTTTAGAAAACGTTTTAGGTTTTTATCTTTTCTAAAAAACCGTAGACAACAACATCTACATTTTTTAGATATAATCTAAACAATAAATATCTATTTAAATCGTAATCTAAAACAAATTAAGATTTACTTTCTATATTTAGAACATTCTAAAAATTACAGAAAACGAAATCTACAATTCCGTAGAATTTACATTCTAAATGAAGATTACAATTTCTAACGATGGCAGAAAATGTAGAAATTATTAGAACGGCTATTCAAAAATATTTAGAACATAGAGCAAAGCGTAGAATGCATGTTCTAAATATTTTAGATATATGATTTTCGGATTTCTAAAATTTTCAGAACAGAAATCTAATCTAAAATATGTAGAACATGTACAAAAATGCAGAATACACACTCTAAGTTTCGCAGAACTCTAGAAAACGTGTTCTAACAAAATTAGACAAAACTTTATCTTCAATTAAATCAACTTTTTTTTAACCAAATCTAAAAAATTTCACTTCAAATCACATCTACTCTTGTATATCTACATATTTTTATGATTATTTTTTAAAAAAAATGTTTAAAATAGGGTACAGAGGTAATTTCGTCCAAACTGACAATCTCACCAAAAAAATGTATATGGACAAAATTTTTAGTAGATATCATTTATTTCCAATTTTCCCTTTTATCTTTATATATGTACTAATCACATCCACCAGTACTAAGCAAAACGCAAAAACCAAAGATGGGTGAGATGATCAAAGCCAGACGCATACTCCTCTTCTCCATCGTATTCCTCTTCTTCTTCTCTCAGGCCCTTCTTTTGTGTTCAGCTAATGAGCATGGCTCAAGAAATCTCGCAGTGGTGATGAAGAAAAGGGTGAAATACAGAGGACCTCGCAACACAACAACCTCCGCAGCTTCCGCTATGATGTTCCCAAGTTCCTTCTCTATTGGTGCTGCTTCTTCTTTCCTCCTCGCTCTTCTTTTGTAAGCTCCGTGATTGTATTGTTTCCACGATGATTCATGTAATTTGCTTTTCTCAATTGAATTGATCTTGTAAAAAAATTCTCAAATGGTCTTAAACTCTGTTTGTAAATTATTTGCTCTGTTTCAAAATTGTGAAAGTTGCTTTTCCTTTTTGTACGCTAACACACACAAAAAAGCTAGGTTTTACGATCTCTATGTCTCATTCTAGTTCTTTCTTATCAATAAAAAAAGTTATATCGTCACTTGTCCCCATTTCTACGTATTTGTTTCACCTTATGACAATCCTATAACCAAGTCACATAGATCTTGATACATGCAAACAATTCATCACAGAACCAAGCTTCATGATTCTAAAAGCATCTCTTGACAACCTGGTCGCTACAGCTGTGTGGCTCAAACCATCACTCCAGGTTAAGATCGGCCAGAGATCCGCAGTATCCGTTCATGTGATGTGTGAGAAAAGAGTGTTTTAAAAAGGGTGATTGGAGATTTTTTTGTATTAATTATTGTAAATTTGTAATTATCTATTAATTGTTGAGAGTTGGTCGCACGAAAGTGTCTTTTCCGACATGTGTCGCCTCTACACGTAACCATCGGACCTTGACTATGTGTTTCTTTTTTGTTAAACATCGGACCTTGACTTCTGGACCGATTCTATAGTTTTTGGCTTACCGAGTTATTTATTTTTTGGTCTTATTTTTTTGATTAATGATTATGATGGAAAAAAAAAATATGCACGCTCTCTCAAAAAATAAGTGTTTTTTTTTTTTTTTCTGTTTTGTTAAAGATCAAGTGTATGTTTATTCAAGAAGAAAAGATCTCAAACATGTTGAGACTTTAATCAATTAATGGAATAAATGAAATTACAAGAGCAAAAACATTATAAAAGAAGAGCAAACGAATAAATCAGGGTGATTGGGCATAAAAAAGTGGACGACGGTACTCATCGAAGAATTGATCACGATCCACGTACACGATTGCATAAAGTGCATAGATGATCCCCGGTACGTACCCCAGAAGCGTTAGGATCAAACATATCATGAACTCCGTCTGCATGTTAAATTTTGACAATTTACATATTTATGAGCTCTTGATTGAGACAAAACCAAGATTGAGAGGGAGGGAGAAAGAAGACTTACAGTGCAACAGCCATGCCTCAGACAAACCCCTAGAGGAGGGATGAGAATGGCGATCATTATTTCACAGCAAATCTCGCACCCATTCGCCATTTCTTAATGTTTTGATCCTTTTTTTTAGTTCTTTTGTTAGATCGAGAGGATTTATTATATATTTATATAAAGGGAAGAGAGACATAAAAAGAAAACAGAGCCTAAAAAAACGACAGCGTTTAGAACCTTTATCAGTGTATCTGATGACAGAAAAAAGAAACAACAAATTAAGAAAAGAAGAATGAATATTCAAATGTTGTACAAATTATTACTAAAGTGTTTTCAAGTTCAAAGAGTGGAGCTATTTTGAAGCTCTTTGTGTGTTGGATTGTGCAGAAGATAATCTCTCATATTTTATGTTTAATATAATATGATTGGTATATGAACCAAGTCATGCCAACAGGATCTAAGGAGTGATGATGGACATATTTTTGTTGGAGGCCCGACCACACAACAAAGCATTTTTGGGCAAAGGGTATTCATCTTTGAGAGAGTGAACTGGAGAATAAACTCGAAGGTAGAATTGTTGACCTAAGTATTGTCTCGCCCAGAACTGGCTCCTTAGATTCCACATCCCCACATTGTCCAATGCCACATATATAGCTGTCCAAGATTCTGGATATACCTACAACAACCAAAACACATTTCAACTTTATGATCAAAATGATCTTTTTATTTTGTGTTTAAAAGAGAGATATAGAATTTTTACGTACTTGAGTAGTGGAGCGAGAAATAGCATCCTTGAGGTTATACTCTCGTCTGCTCGCATGTGACCATATTCCTTTATTGATCCTGTGGAGAACTCATGGACGTCAACGACCATTGACGCACCCTAAACACTCATTAGTATATGATTAAGCTATTTTTCTCACCCAACAACCCAAAAGTTGTATCCATCGAGGTGGTAACTTTGGACTATCTTCTCGCGGTTTTGAAAGATGATCTCAAGAAAAGCATTGTGGTGTGCTCCCATCACTGATGTGTCTAGCCTCATCCCTCCTCCTCTTCTCGGCTTGTCAGGGATGCTTCCGACTTTAAAAACATTTTTTATCTTAAAATGATCCGCCAGCTTCAGCGGAGTATCCGGAGGCACGAACGAGACACCGCTAATGGCATAGCGTTGCTTTCTTTTCACAAGAGCCGCTGAGCTTTCCAATATTAAATTCCTAGAAATCTTCATTTTACCATAATGGTACGAGCCTTGAGGGTCGGTCCTTGGCCCGGACGCAGTTAGGTTGGTCCTAATGGACTGGGCTTGTTTGATAGACCATTCTATATCATTTGGATCAGGTGCCCGAGAAGGGATAATCTTATGGCCTTTGGAGTTGGAGTAGTGGAGAGTGGATCCCACCCCAACGTCTGCGCCGATAAATCTTGTGGAAACGACTATGGAGTAGTTTTGGGGAGGTTGGTCCATGGTGACCAAGACAGAGTAAGTTTGACCAACATGAATGTCGAGGGAGGTGTACATGGATTGGACCGTGTGGGTTCCCTCGACCTCAATGAGCTTAAGCTGATGACCTAATATTTCGAAATTGAGGGAGCTTTGAAGCCCTACATTTGATAATCTGAATCTGTACGTTTTACCTATCAATTAATCCACGAAAGTGATGAGAGAACTAATCCTTTATTTTTGTAACTAACGTAATATTTAGAGTTTTTAAAATGAACCTTTGTCGACGGTGATAGAATAAACAGAACTTAATCCTTGGCCATTGATCATAACCCCATCAGGCATCGTCGGTAACTTGCGTCCTCCATCCAAAATTTTCTTCAAAGTCTGGATGTGGAATCAATTATGGTCATCATATACATACATATACATTACGAAATTATGGTCATCATATATATATGTATATGTCAATGAAAAATACTATTTAAACATGACTAGTTAATAATTAAGAAATGTACCGTATGGTTACGTCGATACCAATCGCCTATGAGGAAGGTGAAATCTCCTGCGGGTTCAGGGAAAGGGACGGGGATGCGAGGGAGGCTGTAGATACGGAGGCTGCCATAACCACCGGCCAGCTTTTGGACTGCGAGGGAAGGGAAGTAAAAGTAACTACCGACCTGATCTTTGACTTGAAAGTCATAAGTGTAATTCTTGCCTGGTGGGATTGGACAAGTCGTCCCATACACTCCATCTTGGTACGAATTTTTCCTCATGTGCACTCCATTCCTTCATTTATCACTTTTTGTATTTATTAAATCGTTGACATCATAATTAACATGAATACTTTACGTGTTCACTAATAAAACCCAACAAATTAACAAGATTATGAAGAAACGGCACATGCATGTGCATGCAAATTGGGTCCTTCATACAATTTACCAAACTCCAATCCTTCTTCTAATATAACTTAAGCTTTTGTTAATTGGAAAGGACTGATACAATCTCGCTAATATTACAAAAGGAAGTAGTAAAGAATGGGAAATAGATCATACCACGATAAGAGAAAGGGCTCGTCGAGATCGTTGTGAACATTGATGACCAAATTGTCATTGGTGAGTGAGCGAATCTCCGGTCCAGGAAATTGTCCGTTTATTAGGATTCCCTGTGTGTTTTAAATATTAATATAAGCATGCATGATCAAACAAACACACAAGAAGCAAGAAGCCATTTGGGAAGAAATGTACCCTTCGAGGCAAAGTACGTAGAGATATTTCGCCGTAAGTGACCCTCCAGTTGTAAAAAAGGGTATCTCCAGCTTTAACAAAATAAATGATGGTCGTTGTCATCATCATCCAAACACCTCCGTTTAGCCACCACCTCATACTCGATCTTGATGAAACTTTGGTAATGAGGATGAGGGCAAGAAGAAAAAGTTGGAAGAGAAAGCTTGAATGTGAGTTTTAGAGTTTGTATTAGTAACAGAAAAATGACTCGGTGACGTCTTGAAAGTCTAATGGGAAGCTTTTCAATAAGCTAAATAACGAATTACGTGTATCATTCGATTTGTTATAAAGAGAAAAAAAGTTATCTAGCAAGCCCATTAATTGGCCTTGTTATACTGACTGTTGCATTCTCAATTGTTGTTTTTGGGCTTCATTTCTTTAGAAACGTGGTTCTCATTGACATGATTCCCAAGAAAATTAATAGACAGAGTTATTTCACAAAAATAGTGTGTTAAAAGAAGTGTTAAAACCTTGCGAGAGATAACACAGTCTATACTAATAGATTTATACAGAGGAAAAGGCAATGCGCCTTTTGGATTTGACTTTGGGTAATAAATTCGCATTAGTAGAGACGACCAACATGCTCAGTTAGTAGTCCTTGGGATTCGACAACTACCCAAAGCTCCCTCTGTATGTGTAATTGTTTATTAAGTGCACATGATAGGGATCTTTATATAGTCCAATATTAGGACAACTTTCTAATGCCAAGATGATTTTAAAATTTCAAGACCTCGGACAAAGTGTTAAATTGGACAAAACACAGTTAAAACCAAAAATGAGGGTTAAGAGTTTGCAGAACCAAAAGAAGACCACAGCATTTACATACACACATAACTGTCTTGTAGCTTCACGTGACTCTCTTTACCCCTCCCGACCAAAAAATAAAGAAAAATCACAGTAGAAAGAGAACGATACAAAGGACTAAGGGTAAAAACGGTAAAACCCCAAAAAGATGAGATGATGAAGAGAGGCTCCTCTCAAACTGTAGAGAGTCAACGGCTAAAGGCATGTTCTCTTGGTCAGGACTGCACTTGTTGAGGTGAGGAGGGTGTGGACTATACATAATGGCTCTTAACACAGCTGAAACGGTGGGAATGTATGCCGTTTTGTTACGAGCCAGTAGCCATGTGAGTCCCATGAGCTTGCAGTCTTTGCTCATCATCTTACTCCCTCTCTCTGTTGTTGTCTTCTTGTTTCCTCCTCTAACATTTAGCTGTAATCCATCAAAATTTGAAACAAAACAAGAATTATTATTTTTTAAATGGCAAAAAGATTGCGTGTGAAAGTGAAGGGTTTCAGAGTGTCGCAGTGCTTTGGGCTAATACGAAAAAAGAAAGTTTCTGAAAAAGCACATCTCCAATTGTTTGCAACCTAAAAGGATAGCCAAAAGAAAAACAATGTGGTTGTGTGTGTATGTGTCTCTTTCAACATAAACCCTAAAAATTAACAGTAATTTTTTTGTAATTGTGAGTTTGGTGAACATGTTTCTCATGGATAGAGAGAGAGTGACAGCTATTATTGAACATTCTGAAGAAGACTTCACGCAAATGAACGCAAAACATTTATTATGCTTTTTAAGGATAAGAAATTTGTTTCAATAAATGCTCTGTGAATCCTTATAGTATAGGGACATAAAGAATGAAAATTTAATGTAACGGAATGCGAAAAAAATTGAACTTTTAACCAAAAAAAGTTATAAAAATTGGACCTTTTGAAGAGCACCGAGGCATCTGGTACAACCGGAGTAAGAAGAATTCCGACATTCTTTTTCAAGATTCTTCACGGCGGCGGTCGGAGTTGCATTTTTGAAGCCGGAGGAGACATTGAAAGCGGCGGGACAAGAGAGAGAGCTAATCTGGTGGAGACGAATGCCACAGAAGCACAAGATTGCATCGCAGCTTGAATTTGGCTGAGGGATCTTGATTTGTTTGATCAAAAGCGCGCTTTGCAATGTGTTGACGCACTTCTGAGAGTCGTCAGGCTTCATGGGTTCGTCGGGATCAGAAGATTCCGGCGTTGGAGCAGGAGCTGGGAGCTGGAGAGCAGAGCGAGCGTGAGCTGCGAAGAGCCAAGCGGCTAGAACAGGGCAACATCGACTCCGGTCAAGGTTTCTTCCGCAAGCTTCGTTGACACCACCAAAGAGCTCGTTGGAGAGGTCAAGTCGGCAGCTTTGAGCTTGGGTTTCGACGGGGAATGCCGGTACAGTGTTGGGTTGGACCGGTTCGGCGAGTAGGTTGCTCAAGACGGTGGAGCAGAGGAGAGAACAGAGGAGGAGGATGAGTAAAGTGAGACTCTTCTTCATTGTAAATGGCTAGAGAGAGAGAGAGAAATGGATTTAGAAATTGAAACGTTTTCTCAAATCTGAGTCCTTTTAGATTCTGAGATTCACGAAGAAAAGCAGCCTTCCATTATTCACTATCTTCTCTCTCTTTTGTTCTGTCCAAAGGACTATTGTGAAGAGAGAGAGAGAGAGAGAGAGAGAGAGAGAGAGAGAGAGAGAGAGAGAGAGAGAGAGAGAGAGAGAGAGAGAGAGAGAGAGAGATGTGATGGAAAAAAAACAAGAGATTCCTGACTTTTGGCAGTTTCTGGTTTGTTTTAGAGTCTATAATCCCTTTGTAAACTGTGTTTAGCTCCGGAAATTATAAGCCTTGTCTTTTTGCTTTGTACTAGTAGTAACTTAGAATCCTTTAACTACATTAGGAATAATGTATATAGTTCATCTTTAATCTTATAAATATACATAGTCATGTATTTTTGCATGTATTTCCTAACAGTAGGCTTTTAATTTTGTTAAAAGCTAGCAAAAATATGTGAAAGAGAACAATTTAAAGATATGAGTTAGTGAAAATAAATAAAAATATGAATGGTTGAGAAACATAATGAGCCCTTGCGAGGTGAGATTGAGATGCGAATGGAGCATAGTCACAGAAAGAAAAGGGTCGATATCTAAAGGACAAAACACAAAAACTCTCAAGTCTCTACAATCATATATTAAATCATTGATTCGCTTTTTGAGCATTGACAAATCCAAAAAAAATGTAACCTCTTTTTTTCAAACGGGTAAGGAAAATGAGCCGGAGGTCCGCCTAGGGAAACGGTCCGTCAGAAGAAAAGTGAAAACTCCAAAAGGCGAGAAAAAATGAGTCGTCCCCACTTTTCACTAATACACTTCCTAATCTTCCTCTTTTAAGTTCCTAATCCCACCAATTAAAGCATTTTCACACGTTCTTTGTTTGCTTGCTTACTTGCCCATCTACCAAATAGTCAAATACATTATCTATATAAGACTTAGATTTAACTGTTTGATACTTATCTCTGGCTTGGAATTGAAAAGGAAAAAGATCATTTTATATGTATACACGTAGTTTAAAGATATCAATTGGTTTTAGAAAAGTAAATCCATAAAACTTAGAATGACTGTTCAACTGACTTCCACAATAAGTCTAACAGCTTCAGGAATATAGGCCTTATATTGGGCCTAATTAACAACTCCAAGGGCTTTAATTGGACCTTGAAGTGGGCCTAGTTAATGTAACTCCCCTAATTAACTTGATTGACGCTTATATTTCGAACAAAGCAATAAGTGATGTGTTTGCTCCTTTTTCATTCGTTCTCGGCCATAGACAACTTTAACCATTTCGTTTAACGATAACTTGATAGACGTTTTATAATTTTCTGATTGCTTCCGTCGACTGTGTATCTGGACTTATGGAGCAGAGTTTAGATAGCTCGCCTAAACTTTTAATACATTAAACATTCATGGAAATTTAAAGTAAAAAAAAAATACATTCATGAAAATTTTATAGAATAATAACTTTATCTTTGACAAAATAAAAACAAGAAGTTTATACATCAAACAAAAGAAAGAATGCAACAAAGAATCATATGTGAAAGAAATATATATGTGTATGCATATGTTGGAAATTAAAACATAAAGTCATCTAAGATGAAATCTTCCGGGAAACCAAAGTCGAAGAAACTGCTGGAGTTGGTTCCTGCTTCAATGCTATCTTGTTGTGGAGAAGACATTGGCGTTGACATGAGCGATTCTAAGTCAAAACTCTCTGACAAAGGTGGTAATACATCTGCGGAAGCAACGTCGTCGAGTCTTGCGTTCATAAGCTCGAAAGATGAAGTTTCATTGTTTGTTGGGGTAGTACTCTCGGCTTGTGGTTGAGAACATTCTGATGATGTGATTGGGGTTTGAAGATTTTGGTCGAGGTTTGACGATGCGTACATTGGATTAGGGTTTTGAAGCTGTGGCAAGAGAAGAGAGGCTAGCCTCAATACATCAGGATTAAGAAGAGACGACGCATGTGTTGCAGCCGATGAAAAGTTTGGCTGATTGAAAAGTGCACCTAAAAGTGAGGACAAATCAAGAAGATCAAGGCGTGGAGAGTGAGTAACAGGATCGATACCACTCCTTATAAGTCTCTTGCGGATATGAGTGTTCCAATGATTTTTGATTTCGTTATCGGTCCTTCCTGGTAGACGAGTTGCTATGGCAGACCACCTAAAATTCATCAATTCAATATTAGTGACATTAATCTATGATTAATATAAGTCTCCTCTTTTATTATTCTAATATAGGTCAATACGTACTAGTAAAGTACTAATAATAGTTTATTGGAGTTGATGGCCTACATTTGACATGTACGCTCCGCATGCAAACGTACACTCTCACTTTTTCATTAATCAATATGAATTTCAGACAAATAATTATGGTGTGAACGAAGCTTACTTGTTTCCCATAACACTGTGTAGCTGAATGATAGTTTCTTCTTCCTCGAAGGAGAATCTTCCTCTCTTGATGTCCGGTCTTAGATAATTGGTCCATCGAAGACGGCAGCTTTTTCCGCATCTTTGGAGTCCTTTAATTTGTACAATACGACTTATAAGTGTGTGATTCAATAAATAGAGAATATATAAACCTATTAGAACAAAAATATAAGAAATATAGATGTGTATAGTTTAAGTACCAGCATTTTTGGGAAGAATACGCCAATTGCCAGGACCATGAAATCGAATATAATCTATGAGTTTCTGATCCTCCTCAGCCGTCCATGGTCCCTTCTTCACTCCATTTTTATCACAACAAGGTGACCTTCCCATCTTTGTTTTGTTTTACACAAGATATAAAACAAGAATCGACGATAGGTTTCAATAATGATTTATTTCTGTTATGAAGATCAAAAAAAAAAATCAAAGTGCCAAGTGGAGTTTCTTAAATTTCCAAGGACTTGGATTTTAGAAATGTCAATGTGTGGATGTACTCATACCTTCTCCATTCATTTGTTTATATAGGGATGTGAATTATGCGAAGAACTTGTTAATGCGGAAGAGAGCCAAGGTCAATTCCACTTGGCATGTACCTAATATGCCACGTCCTTTTGAGCCACAATGTCCCCTTTGTTTTTTTACTGTATATTCTAGAAACGATCCACGTGATAGTATGCCTGATATTTTAATCTAATCTATCTATCTAACTTAGATTCTGTGATCAGTACAATTAATAATATCTTTTGTGTATATTTTGTATATAGATAAAGTAACTACGAGGTTTCAATAGATCTTGTGGGGTAACTATTCGGCGGTGAACATGTTTTTTTCACCTTATGGTGGTGACTGGTGAGAGTCAGAGTGAAGCACATTAATAATGTTTTGCTTTTTGTTTGTGGGTTAAGTTATTGACTTTGCTTAAACAAATAAAAAGGTTGTTGACTTTACATGTTAATATAGGTCAGTTGACTTTTTACATACATGTTTGGTTAAAGAAAACCTGGAAAATTAAGTATGAGAATATATGTTACGTTGAATTTTGTAACATAAAGCCTAGAGTTTCAAAGGTTAAGAGAGTGAGGACGGTAAAGTAGTTGGATATTCTCATCAAAAAAAATTCAAATAACGTGTTAATGTCATATGCCTTGTGCTTTTAAAATTGATGATGAGACAAATTGCAACATTTTTACTTATGCAACGTAATTCCAAGTTTCAGTTTTAGAGATTGCTTGTGGAAGGGTCTCTCCGAAGTTCCGAACAAGCCATCCACGTCGGCACTATTTAGACGATTTCAAATAGCAAATTAAATAACAACTTTTTTTTTTTTTTTTGGTTTGTTAAATTGTTGGTGGAAAGCTGTGCAACAAACTTTGAATTCCATATCCCCTTTATCACAAGAACCACAGGCTTCTCCGAAGTTCACACCGAAGCTTATTGTCTACATTTTAAAATATTTTTCACTCTCCTAAAATAGCAATGTGTGGATTCATGCAAAATGTGACACATGGAAAGAGATATGTTGTGGGGTTGTCCTTTCACTTCTTTTTTGCATCATTCTATCTACTCTTAGGTTAGGTTTCTGGATTGGTCAGCGTCGGAGATTTACCAAAGGAAATCGGTCAGCGTCAGAGATGATGATGATGATGTCAAGTCAAAGATTGTGTCAAGTCACGCATTAGGAGATTCTCGAACAAGGCTTAATTAATACCAAAGCGTTTTACTTAATGGGCCACTTGTGGAATTAAGCCTCGCACCTTTAATGGGCTTCATTGGTTGTAAAAATGAGCTCATCAATATCGGGGCATGTTATTGCTGCTATATATCATCACTTTGTAATTGCGTTTTACCTTAATAAGTTAATGTTATAAAATATATAACAAATGATGACAAAATATTGATATTTTGCAGAATATCTAAATATGTATAAATTTATATAAATATATTAAAATGAAAAAGGTATGAAATATATGAAAGATGATATATAATACAAAGACAATGGACTCCCGTTTCCATATGTCAGCAGTAATTAGATATAAATCCTTTCACAAAAAAAAGTAAAGAAAAAAAAACAGTAATTCTTGACCAATAAAAAAAGGAAAAAAAAAGCAGTAATTAGATATGCATGTTAAAGAAATAAAGATCACGTTTTCATGTGCACAAAGACCATTTAATAGTACTAGTGTTTTATCTATAAAAGAAAAAGGAAAATCAACATTGTGCCATAAAAAGGGAAGAAAATCTTGGTATAGAAACTTCAGGATCTCCATTATTTAAATCTAATTACTCTTTCAAGAACACAATAATAGGGACACAATAATATATAAACTTTTTCGTTCAACCCCTTAAGAGATTTCATGGTATGATGTCAACTTCGATCGTCTTTTGCATGATTAACGATATCATATTTTTGTTATTTGAATCTTAAATATGAATACTGATGAGTGTTGATATATGAATGGTTCAGTCAGAGACGAGCATGGAAAAATACAAGAATTTATCAGATTTCCTTAAGAAATTCTACATTCCTTCGTACGTTCTCTCGCCTGAAGCCGAGCCTGTGGCACAAACCAGTAGTAGTACACCACCTGAGAGCCCAATCCTCGTATTCATCAACTCCAAAAGCGGAGGTCAACTAGGTGCAGAACTCATACTTACCTACCGCACTCTACTCAACGACAA